GTTGATTCTACTCTAGTCACACTGATTTAGCCCTGAATTGAGTGTCAGCATTTTTCAGAACGATGGATCTGGAGGTCTGATTTTTCCTGTATTGATGAAGATTTGCATAGTATGGAAGTAACAGAAACCTAAAGGAAAAAATCTGCTAAAAGAATAAACTGTGTAGGCACAACAGAAATGAAGATTACAGAAAAATACTGTATTTCATTAAGCAGAGACAGTGAAGAAACCTTGAAGAAGCATTGTTCCCTTGCCAGTGTGACCATTTCTCTACAACCATTAAGTGTTGAATTGCCAGTAATATGTTACTTCCATCTGCAAAATGTTATGTACATTTACATAATTCTTCATAACACCAAAATAATTATTTGCAGGGCAATGAAATGTGTTCCCTGGCCATGAGCATGAGACCTTTGAACAAGAGAAGAACCCGAAAAGATTTCACAACTGAAGAAATTAACTGCCTTTTGGAAGGAGTCCAGAAAATGGGCAATCACTGGAATTTGATTTTGTGGTCTTATCCTTTCCAGAAAGGACGGACCAGTGTTGACCTTTCCAAGAAGTACTACAGGTTACAGATGCAGGTACTCATCACTGAATTTTCTACTGATGGCAAATGCTTGTGAGCCCAGTTTTCATCACTACCCCCCGAACTGACTTGCAGAAATAAAGACAGGCTTTCAGTGTATGCAGCCATGGGATTGTGCCTTGTGTCAGTGAGAGTGGTCTCAGGTGTAATTCCACCAGGGCTGGTGCTTGGAGAGAGAGAACTAAAGTAGGGAGAGACCAGAGAGCTTTGGAACCTGCTACTGCCACCTGACAGGGTACAAAGAGAATGAGAGTGTCATTAAGGACTCTGAATTAATCCCTGTGTTTATCAGCAAGTTGGTCTCCTCTGCTCAGCCTCTGTTGCGATGCTGGTCTGTGAGAGCCTCTGCAGCAGTTTCCCAGTGGTTAATCCGTGCATCCCTCACACAGGGAGCATTGCTCCTCTGCTTTGGAGACCATGGGAGCAATTAAGTGACAAGCCTTTGCCTACTGAAAGCTGGTCTGTAACTGTGCAGTGGTTTGGGGCAATATTTATCTTGATAGTTTCTCTTTTTTCTTCATTTGTAGATGAAAAAAGCACACAAAGGACATCAATAACATCATCTGAGAGTGTTTTGCATTTTGTTGCAGAATTTTCAAGAACAGCCTTTGTAACAGTAAGGTATTGCCAGAACAACTTGAGTCTTTGGAGTATTTAGGTTGGCTTGGACTCCTGTTTTTCAGTAACAACTAACAGAATTCTTATGCATTGTAAATTTAATTTACCATAACTTGAAGTAATGCTATCATAGGGAACAAAATATCAGTAAAAATTACAGTAATTTGGAACTTAATTTAACCTTCTTGAGCACTTGATTGATGCAACTTTTGGATTCACTTTTTGCAGCTTTCTCTATACCATTTGAAAGAAATGGCTGTATTCTAAAATGAGTACTTTATATCTGAAACTGCTGTTAATGTTGTGTCTGAATCTGTCTCCTCTTAATAAGTGAAATGTTTAAAGCAGGTGGAATATTTTGTCATGCATTGAATATGCTGCACGTGCAGAAAAATGTCTCTGAGAAAACACTGAATGTGTGGTTGAACACTTGCTGCTCAGAGAAGAAAAATCTTTCACTGCTACAGAAATTCTGTACTCACTGTTGAGCTGAATAGGTACTGATAGAATTTGGCTTCTGTTTATATTTGGACAGTTTTCTGTTGTATTTTTCAAGTTAGTGAGCAGAACCACTATTTCTGCTAATTACACATTTTTTATAGGAAGCTTTACTGAAAGCCTTGGTGACTTGATTTTTTAGTGATAGCCTTAGTATTTCAGTTGTATTTTTTACTTGTTATGATAAAGGAATGATGAATCAATAGTTAACTTATTATGGAAAAGGTTTAGTTATTGTATTAGCACTAGATTTTCATTATAATGTGGCTCAAATGCTTGAAAACAAGCAAGGTAACCAAAACCTGAGAGAGTTGCAATAAAGATGATACCTATGATGCAATAAATATGTCTTCCAATATTTTCAGCTGTTGCAGTTTGGGTTTTTTTATTATTAAAATATTGAAATATGTATAAAAGGTGTAATTCTGTAGCAGGGTTGAGTATCAGTGGAACCACTGGCAGACT